AATAACATGATGTAAAATTTAATCTGTTTCTATGGATCCTGAAAAAAAAGCCTCAGTAACAAGCATCCGGCCATTTCATGCTTACTTTTGTGTTTTGAATCTTCTGTATAATAAAAATTACAATTCTTGACATGCCTAATTTTAAATGTGGGGGGGTAGCGTCAGGAAATACATATTGCTATTACAGATGACCTGAGCTCTGGTCCCAGGCCCCCTCTCTGTTACCTGCAACTGTAGCTCCAGGGGATCTGATGCCTTCTGGTTTCCTTGGGTATCTCACTGCTTCACTCCCCCTGCATGTTCTTGAACACATCCACACATGTGTGCGTACACACACACACACACACACACACACACACACACCAGTCCCATGAAGATGAAAACCTACCATTTGAGAAATCTTGCTATTTAAGATGATCATGGGAATAACTTTAGAACTAGAGGTCTGGATTTTCATGGTGGAAATGGGTTATATCTATGTTCCAGTTTCAACCTCCTAAATGATATTAGAGTCACCTCTTCAGAGGGAAGGATGGTACCATGGTTCTGAAGGACATTGAGTCTCTATTGAAGCCTAGCAAGACAAAACTATTGCTCCTGTTCAAAACAATGAAATCCGCCTCTGGCCCTTAGTTGAGATATGACATACCATTGTTATTGTCTTCTCCCTTAAAAGCTAATTTTGGGATAGACTCAGTAATTAATGGTACTTGCCTCCAAGCCTGAAGACCTGTGTATGGTCCTGCGTGATAAAAACTGAGGATATGTAGAGAGGAGCTGCGGGCAGGCCTGCTTTTCATCCTGCCTGGCTCCTGCATGGCTAGCTTAGCCCCGGAAATAATAACACACAAATTGTATTCATTTAAACACTGCCTGGCCCATTATCTCTAGAGAGTTAGTTACTGACTAACTCTCGTATCTTGATATTAACCCATTTCTAATAATCTGTGTAGCACCACGAGGTGGTGGCTTACCGGAAAAGATTCAGCATGTCTGACCTGGTGGCTGGCTCCATGGCTTCTGCCTCACAGTCCTCTTCCCAGCATTCTGTTCTGTTTACTCCACCTACCTAATTTTCTGTCCTATCAAGGGGCCAAGGCAGTCTCTTTATTGACCAATAACACAGTAGACAGATAACCCTCCTCCATCAAGGATAGATTCAAAAGAGTTGCCCTCTGCCCTCCACATGTGTCCAATGGCATATACACACAATTACCACTCTATACCATCTGAAATTAATCAATTAATTAATTAATCAATAGATGTGATTGTAAAAAGTTAATTTATCTGGGAGTATTAATCCCTTGGCTAATCACCCACACCATGGACCCTGTCTCAGGAAGGCTAATTCACCAGAAGCCACACTGAAGAGATGAGAGGTCTAATGATCACTGTCATGATACAGTGTACTCTTTCAGTTCCAGAGATAGTTAGAAGCCAAACGCCAGGCTTTCTCATTCTTTCTCAGAAGGAACTCCCAGCCCTCTCCACTTTGCCTGCTTATCCAGGATGGGGTTAGCTGCTGAAACTCTATCGCTGAACATGCAAGCCTAACTCAAAAGCATGGCTTCTCTATCTGTCTTCTCCAGCTCTCTTTTCTGGGCAACTGCCAAGATTTCCAGCTTAACTTCTCTACTGATTTTCTTTTGAACTCTTAACAAAGTTTTTTTCTCAAACTTCCTTCTGAATCTTTTCTTAAATTTTCTTATTAATGTGACTAAGAACCCAGAGAACCACAATTTTCTTGGTAACATATGGCAACCCAGATAGGATTTCCTAAACTTTCTGGCAATTCTAATTCTGGTAGTTTCTAATTGTTGCCAGCTCTTTTATATGTATTTATGCCTCTTGTATTATATAAATCTTCTGGTAGATTTCTAAAGCAGTGTATAAGGACAGAAGGTAGAAAGAGTCTGACCTCAACAGATAAAACTGTTCATTTTAAACAAGAAAGGACAGCACTCTTGATGTGGGATTCCCCTCTGTATGCTGTGGATACCATTGGTGAATAAAGAAACTGTCTTGGCCTGTGATAGGGCAGAACTTAGGTAGGTGGGAAAACTAAACCGAATGCTGGGAGAAAGGAGGGTGGAGTCAGAGAGAAGCCATGTAACCCTACTGGACACAGATACTGTAACTTTACCAGTAAGCCACAGCCGTGTGGTGATACACAGATTACTATAAATGGGTTAAATTAATAAGTAAGAGTTAGTCAATAAGAAGCTAGAGCAAATGGGCCAAGCAGTGTTTTAATTAATACAGTTTCTCTGTGGTTATTTTGGGCATCTGGGTAGCCTGAAACCAACAAGCAGCCTCCTCTCCTTACAACAAATTGGTGCCAACATGGTTGACTAAAATCTACTTAAAACTCAAGAAAGCTTTAAAAGGAATCCTAGACACAAAAGAACAGAGTTAAACATGGTTTGGTAGCAGCATTTTCTTGGGTGGGCTCTGTTTGCTAGAAGCAAGCAGAGGCATGGCTTCTTTAAGAGAGGTTTTCCTGATTCAATGGTTGCAGAAAACACTGCCATTTTGAAATGTTGGCTTTCTGGGCTGTGCTGCCAGAGAGAACTCTGACTCTTTCTGGGGGTCCAGATATGGAACATTTAAATGGGGTTTGCGAACAGAGTGCTACAACTTGCTTAATGACAAAATAGACTGGCTGTTTGCTTAAAAATGGGGCTATGAGCACAGCTCTCAGAGGCAGTGAACAGCTCCGTCATGCTGGACTGGGTGGGGCAAGCAGGAAGTGCTACAGGCCTGTAGTATCCAGCAAACAGGTTGAAGATGGATGCCCCAGTGGTACAAAAGAACTTTGAGACACTGTCCAGGCAGCGAGATGTCTCTGTCAATTCTAGAGTTTTGGAAGTTGCTTACAATGCACTTCTATTTACTTAGGTAATATTATATCCTTCTGGAGTCTTTGATGGAGCTGAAGAATTTGTAGTTTAGTTATCATATAGCTAAAGTTATAGTCTATCGCCTTCTAGAATGCAAAGAGCAGGAGGACACTCTGAGGCTCCTCAGATTAAAATTGTGGGAGCTGTGAAGCTCTCCCAAGCCTGTGTTCCTGTGTTCCCAGTTGTATGATGATTAGCCACCCTAAGTTCAGAGAGTTCCACATGGCCTAACATTGTGAACTCCAAACCATGCCTTAGAATAAATAATTAAAGTAAAATATTGGACACTGGCTCTCTAAGAAGTACATTTGGAAACAGGCATAAGGGTATTCTTAAGAGGCAGATATGACTGTTTCCTTGGCTATCAGTAATTGGAATTTTTCCAGAAAACTCAAACTGGAAAAAAAAAAAACCCCACCACCACCACCAACAACAACTACAACAAGAAAGCCTGGTGCCAGGCAGAGAAGGAACTTGATTCCAGGAAAAGAGATTTCACACATCAGCCCCCCTGCAGGGAGACAGCTGACAGGTCAGTTATGGGCAAAGACTACCATGATGGGACTGCTTAGTGATGGACCCCTCTTGGCCTCTGCTAAAACCCAACATCATGTCAGGACCCAGATGATGGACGTGGTGGTGGGGAATCACTGGACCTTTTTGTCCCTTACCCCAACATGGCCAAGATGATTAAATCTCCTCTCCCTGCTTTCAGTGTTGCTTATCTAATTGGCATAGTTAGGACAGGTGTCTGAGCCTCGCTCATCAGGGCCGCCAGGGCCCAGGAGCTGGTCTCGACAATTCTGGTCACAAGTTCCTTAAGTAGATCTCACAAATTTTTAGTCCATTATTCATGATTTTCCATTAAAACGAATTATGTCATATGCACATAGAAATAATTTTACTTTCTCAAATCAACCTGGATACCCCTTCCTTTATGGTTTAACTCCTCTGGATAGAGCCTGCAGGGCAGTGTAGTACGACCAGGGCAAAGCCATTCTTTTTGACTAAGGAGCATGTGGCTGCCTGTGGTGCTATCATTTCAGGGCATCTCCTTCTACTCCCATTTTGGTGTCAGTTTTAAAAATGAAAACGTGTTGGCTCGGTCTCATACTTCTTTTGTCTATTGAAACAGTCTATATCACTTTGACCTTCATCCTATCACACGACGCTGTTGAAATCAACCCATTTTTTTCTTCCCAGAGTTAATCTTACTTTGTAAATCCATGCTTCAAATTGTTATACATCCTCTTGAATGGCTGAGCCTTTCATTTCTCTAAGATACCCCCTCTGCTTCCAGCAATGTTTGTTACATCGAAGCCTCCTTAGGGGCTATTTGTAAAATGAACCCACCTTTCTGTACGGGCTGTTAGTGTGCTATCTCCTCTACCAGTCTGTTACTTCTCTCTTCTGTCTTAAAGAATTTCCATTTGTAAATGAAGTCAAGGATGGCTCTGTAAGGTGCACTTGACATGGCATTAGGAAAACACGTATTAAATCTGTGGGAAAATTTGGCTCTTTCAAGTTTTTTTTTTAAATTTGTCTTATTTACTGTCCTATCTGCCTCATGGAATGGATACAATTAGCCACTTTCAGATAAAGAACCTTTGACAAAACCCTCTCTGAACTCCATAGGCAGTTCATGCCTGTGGTTCTTTTGTACAGATAGACAATAATGACAAAATGGTTAACTACAGGTTTGGGCATTTCACAACTGGGTTTGCAGACACACTCATCCAACTTTGTATTTGTTTTCTTTCCATTGCAGAAACTGTCTGTGAAGTGTATAGGGAGTGGGAGCCTTGTTTCTTTCATTTATAAGTGGCCAAGAAATTCAGTGTTCATTAGCTTCTTGGTTCTTGCCTTGCCTCCGCCTCCGTTGTCTATGAAGACCGTTCCACAGGTCTTCCAGGACAGTCCCATTTCCTCCTCATGGCTTGGCATACTTATTAACAGCCCTTCATCTTCCAAAAAGAGCCTTGGTTTGAACGCTAACTGCAGGGTTAGCAACTTGTCATTACCAACTCGCAAAGGGTGCCATGTTGCAGGTGCCCACTAGGTGTCAGTAGCGTAGCCTGCGAAGAATCTTCAGAGCAAGCATTTCATTACAAAAGTCAAATCAAAGCAAATAATTAGGAGTGGTTCAAGAGCTACCTGCAGCTTTGACCGGTTCCAAACAGGTGAGACCGAAGAGGGAGGTGCGGAGGACCAGGTACACTACAGGTGACTTCTTCCTGGGATCCTGCAGGGCAGGAAGGATTCCCTTCCTTATTAAGGACTTCAGTGGTTCACCGAATGAGCGTCCTTTCCAATTTACACTCACGAGATGAAGCCGGTGTTCAGTGAGTGAGGAAACAGCTCCGAATGAAAAGAAATTCCTCTTCGTAGATTTCTCTTTAATTCACAGTCAGATGAAGGTCCTGCAGGTAGAGCTCCCTGGAAGCCTACATCTGATGGAGAAGCTGAGCTGCCCGAACAACGACAGATTTTAAGAAGATCTGGAAGCATGCACCTGCAGAATCATCACACTGGACTCGTTGGGGAATGATTTCTGGATTGCACATATATTGTCTCTCACTCGGGTAACGAGACTGGAAACCCGCCCTGCCTCAGATGTACGGCACACATCAGGCCCCAGATGTGTAGGAAGAGACCCGCAGGCATGGGTCTCGCAAGGCACATGGCTTTTCGTTCTTGGAACTGGTTGCTATGGCTGATGGTCCTTGCATGTTCCGAAGCATCCTCGTATGTGAATGAGTCCTCCAACTCCACTGCCCAGCAGGCACCTGATGCTCGGTTTGCTGCTTCCAGCTCAGACCCTGATGAAAGAATATCTGTGTTTGAACTGGATTATGACTATGTTCAAATTCCCTATGAGGTCACCCTCTGGATATTGCTTGCATCCCTTGCAAAAATCGGTAAGTCCTCAAATATATGTTTAAGGGTGATTACTTCTTATCACATATGAAAATCTCTTATAAACAACCATTGCTTATAGTGCATTGAAATCATATTCCCTAAAATCAGGAGAAAGTCATGGCTGTTTAATGCTTCAGGATTGCATTTGAAATTTAAATGCATATGCCCACAGTATTCATTGTTTTGTTTTTGTAATTCAAGAACACAGTCATGTGACTTATCTGTCATGTAAAAATCTAATGCTCCATGCTTTAAAAAAATATAAAATGTAACGTGTACAGGGCTTGGGGAATGCCAGAGATTGAATAATATTTCTTTATGTAACATGATCTTCCTTCATTCCTAGCCATGTGCTGCAATTTGTCAATCGCTTTGGTTATGTATTCCTTCCAACAGACTCATGTTTCTTGTGAAGTGACAGGAAGCAAGGAGAAAAATAACCACAGGCAACTCTTAACACCCCAGCAATGGGGTGCGGGGTGTACGAGTCAATATCTGCCAGTTAAGTATGGCTTTCCTCCTAACTGAGATGGAGCTGCCAGCCACCCTGCTTTCCGCTGTGCGTGGAAGGGAGCTCCAGTGAATGTGTTGAGCTGCAGTCAAGTGTTCTTCCTTCAGAAGCCACAGCAGTGGCTCACGTTCTACGACCAACGTGCACCGCTCTCCCCTTAAAACCGCTTACTCCAAAGTCGAAAATCCATACCGTTATACCAGTTACTGCATAGATCACTGCCTTTGCCTCCTCTATGATAAACTGTAGATAGGTTGAGTGCACAGATTGTTTTGTTGATGTAGAATCTTTCAAACATTTTTATTTCCATACACATACATATATAAACGTACACGCGTACATACACGTGCCTATATATGACAGATGTGAGATGTAAGTAGGGCCATGTGTAGTCTGCAGTGAATATTTACGGGCTCTTGTCTATCTCTGTAGCTCCTTCCTCCCTGTGAGCTAGGGGCTCGGGAGTACTTGGGTACCTTTTTTAAGTCTATGCCTCTTAAGCTATGAAAGTTTCAAATGGAACGGAAAGGGCCGGTTGGGAGAAATCTCCCGCAGTTTGCTGAATGGTGAGCTGACGCCAAGCGCCCACCACTTTGAAGGAGTGTGTGAGCATAACTGGCTCTCTAGGTGAATACTGCACTCAAGCCAGACCCAGGTCTGGCACCTTTCGTTTGACTGGATGGATAATGGGAATTTTCAATGTTGTCTCCTGTGATACTTTTGTGCCACTTGTAAACAATGGGGAGTATTAGTTGTCTCCCCTTGTCCCTCTCCCACAGCTTCCCTCCCTCTGCTTGGCAACAGCTGGCAACAGCTGGCAACAGCTGGAGCTCTACGGGTCCTTAGAACACAGACCCGTTGCTGACTAGCTGGCTCCTTTATCTGCCGCTAGACATCTAGAAGCAGAGGAGGGCCCAATTTATTGGTGTTTGTGCATACTCATGAGGGGTTGTTTGTTATTTGGACATGTTGCATGTTCCCCGAATTTACTATCAGGAAGTACGAAGAGTCTGTGGGAGACACTGTTGTTCAGGGGACTCTTAGTTAAATGTTACTGACTTTCCTGATGGTGGAATTCAGTAGGATTTCAGAAAGGAAAATTACTTTAGTTTTTCAGTTGAAACATACTTACTCAAGAATGAGTTTATAATTGCTAGTCTTCAGGAATCTAGATAGGTCTATATGCTGTAAGCATTTGGGAACTGAAAAGGGGTGTATTTATTAAATATACGCTGTGTGCCAAATACTGGGCCTGACCTTCTATATACTACGATGACTTGTTTACTGAGAGATACGTAGTGATAGTAGTAAAGATGATGGTGATTATAATGGTTTCTAGACTTTAACATTTAAGGAATGCCTATGAGTATTCAGATTATAGATTATGAATAATAGCATAATTTTCAACCTTATTCTCATCGTTGTGTATTATTTCTGATTCATTCAGGCACATTTGTAGAGTACCCATGCAATACCTGGAAACGAATGAGCTGGACCTTAAGAGGTTAACCTAGAACTCACTGGCCAGCACTCTGACAGGAAAATAGCAAAATGCTCCCCATTCCTTTTAAATAGCCAGCTATAAAATTATAAACACGTTTTATAGATCAAAGAGAATTCAAGTCATTTCTGACTTTGTGAGTTATCTCTTAGTTCCATCACACTTCTTGGAATAGTACGGAACCGGCCCCGGAACCTCTGGGAAGACCAGCATTGAAGGTTGTCCTCCATTTCCCAGGACTTGAGTGTTTCTTCCCACTTCCGTTCAAGCACTGGGGTTATAAAGATGTAAAGTGGCTGACTCTGGGAAATCTGCTCTCCTTCCCGACAGGGGACACATGATTTAAAGTATAAAATGCTTTAAGCACTTCCTATTGCAATTCGGCAAGCATGTGGCTTGTTTCTGTCACAGCTCTGCGGGCTCATTTTGCCTTACGGTAGGTAGCTGCACTTGGAGGACCAGGAGTCAGAATAGCAAAACGTAGGTCCCGAGAAAACGCACAGGTTCTTCCATTTCTACGGCATAAATTAGAAGTTAAGTTTGATTAAAATAAACACTAATTGAGAGACAAAAATAAGGAAGGTGAAGAAGAAAATAAGAAGGCTGAAAACGTGATTAGAAAACTGAGAATCCAGGCTTTAGAAGGCCTTGAACTGGTCTTGACACCAGTGAAGCCTAAAAAGTATGAGTCACATCCTTTGGTGATAATTTTGCTCAACTGTGTCAACCTGTATACAGATATACATACACACACACAATACACATATATATGTACACACATGCATGCATACCCCACCATACTCTCACATGCATATATATCTTGGAGCAGTTCAAAGCAATTCTGAGGAAAACCCACATCTTCTTTTTATACAGCTAAATATAAAACTCTCCAAGGAGACATTCACTGGTTCTCCAAAGCCTCTGGAAAGAAATCTACCTTCGGTAATTTAAAAGCCAGGCTCTCTGTTATATGGCACACACAAAAACCATCTTCCAGTTTTCCTTAATAATCTTACCAATTGATATCTTGTTGAAGCCAGGTGGCATCTGTCAATGAGGGAGCAAAGTATCTGTTAGGACACTTTTTTTCTTTTTCTACCTCTTTTTCTTTCTTTCTCTCTCTCTCTTTTTTTTTTCATCTTGAGGCTCCCTCCCCTCACTTAAAATGCTTTTCATTCTATTACAAAACTGTGGATATCTTAGCCACTTCCCAAGGCACCCAGTTCCTTCCATATGGAAGCACCACTGATGTCCATTTAGCCCATTCATTCATTCATTATTCAGCACTTTTAGACCCAGCTATCACACAGATTTAGCTATTGATATTTGTTAAGCGATGTAATGATGTAAACTCTTAAGCAACAGAATGATGTAAATCGTTTCCTGAAGTTTGGGGGAATTTGCAGACGAGTACAGATAAAAGCGGGAGGTAAGGATCACTGTTACTAAACAAGCATCGGAGAGATAAATTGTTTTGAGAAGACATACTAATTTTTGAGGAAGACATATTGATTTCTCTCATGGGGAATGGGAAAGACTTAGCCTCAAATTCTGAGCAGGACCTAAAGATGAAGGAAAAGGACAATCTAAGCAGGGAAAACGGCAACAAGATGGGAAAGGGGCCTGCTGGCGAAGGATCTTGATTGACTGTATTGAAGGATGGTCACGCTTGGGGCAGGAGGTGTGGCGTGAGGCCCCCCATGATGATCCTCTGATTTCTGATGTCTTTGTATTTATAGAATATTTTATGTACATTTCACCAAAGTCTCATAGGTCATATTATTTCTGTCTTTTAATTTATTTGTGTCTTACCCTTAAAACTTTTCCAACAGTGGGGGATGCTGTATAGTTTACATCTTTGACTTTCTACCTCAATAAAGTCAGTAGTATGTTTTTTCTTTACAGAAGAGTGCTTAAATACTATTCGTTTACAGCCCATACGGTGCTCTGAGTGCCTTCCACATCTTAGGTGGAACTGAGACAGTAAGATACACAGGGTCAGAGACTATGGCTTCTTAAACCGTGGCTTCCAACCTCACACATGGTTGTACAGTGGAATGCAGGGTCATGAAAAAGTTAGCAGCAACGGTGACAGAAAAGGTTTCTGAAAAACTGGCCGACAATCAATCCAGAAATCAAATGTGTAATGAGATCAGGGTGTTTTTGTGTGTGCTTGGTCATGCAGCATCACGAGGTCTCCATGCAACCATGGTGGTTAGCACGCAGTGTGTGCACAACTACTCACAGAGGGGCCACTGCCTCGAATGCTCGGTTCTTACTTGAGACTGCTGTGCGCTATGAACCACAGTGTTGTGCTCTAATTACACATGAAAATTTCTGAACTTGTAGAAATGCCATGGCGTAGTATAGTAAAAAAAAAAACCCAAAAAACAAAACAAAAAACAAACAAAAAAAACAAAACAAAACAAAACAAAAACACGTCTGATACTTTTCAACCATCATCCCTAAACACGTCAAATTTCTCTGGCTTTGAATTATGCTGTGTTTGGATGTTTGACTTTAAAATTGCTGTTTGAGTTGCTAACAGGAATTCTATATATAAAATAAAATTTAAATGCATTTTGGCTTCTGATTAGAGCAAAATTTATTACAATTTCTGAAATATCTTTAACCACACCTTTGCCGATGAACCAGCCTACATCGAGAGACAGTAGGGTGGGCAAAGATTAATGTCCAGTCTTCTCTGCGCCCAGGTTTCCACCTTTACCACAAGCTGCCCCACCTCATGCCAGAGAGCTGTCTCCTCATCATCGTGGGTGCGCTGGTGGGTGGCATCATCTTTGGCACCCACCACAAATCGCCTCCAGTCATGGATTCGAGCATTTACTTCCTGTACCTCCTTCCGCCCATCGTGCTGGAGAGCGGCTACTTCATGCCCACGCGGCCCTTCTTTGAGAACATCGGCTCCATCCTGTGGTGGGCAGGCCTGGGGGCCCTGATCAATGCCTTTGGCATTGGTCTCTCCCTCTACTTCATCTGCCAGATCAAAGCCTTCGGCCTTGGCGACATCAACCTGCTGCAGAACCTGCTGTTTGGTAGCCTGATCTCGGCGGTGGACCCCGTGGCCGTGCTGGCCGTGTTCGAGGAGGCGCGCGTGAACGAACAGCTTTACATGATGATCTTCGGGGAGGCCCTGCTCAATGACGGAATCAGTGTGGTGAGTCACCCAGATCGCGTTCCCGGAGGGGTGGGGCTGGGGTGGCCACAGCGATCAGTGCTGCCTCGGCTCTCCATGTCAGGGTTGTGGCCTGAACTCTGATAACATTTCAGACAGATCCACTTTCTGTATCTGACTTCTCATTAGTTGCTTTAAAAAGAGAAAAGGAATAGAAAATACATAATTCAATTTACCTTTCAATTCAAGGATTTTTTTTATTTATCATGGAAAAACTATTATTTACAGCTAATCTTGGTATTCTTGTTAGTCTAGACAATCCCTTTGTTTCTACTACATGTCTATATGTATATATGCATACACACACATATCATGAGACACTAGATGAAGTTAAAATACAATTCCTCTGGTCATTGAGACATGCCAGGGAAATTATAGAAATAAATCAGTTTGTATATTGCTCAGTCCCACGTTATATGGAAAATGTGAATGAGGGCTCTCTGCACAGGAATTCTCTAGAGAGAAGCTGAGGAGGATGAACTAGCTAGAGGGAGCAAGGCTTAGCACCAAGCCCCAGGAACTGTTCACAGCTGGGTAGCTGGAATATTCACGACCAGTCAAGCTCAGTGATCAATTTCAGTAAACTTTACAATGTTCGCCAGTTTGTGGTCTATAAGAAGTTTATATACATTTTCATGGAATCTTGCTATTTAAAACTTATATTCCTGCACACAAACAATACTAGACTACATTTCATTGTAAGGGAGCTAAATAGTACGGAATTAGGAGTCATAAGCAGGAAGCTTCCACTTGCCTTCCCCCTATTCTTTCTGCAACGAGCAAGACCTTTAACTCATCTGCCCCTTTCTCCCCCACTCTTCACACTGCACACATACACGCCTGCATAGCTGCGGATGCATGGTGTCTTTGCAAACACTGAGGGATCCTATTCCTTATGTGTTGCTTCGCTGTAGCCACTCCGGGTCCTTGCATGTCTCCCCAGCTGTTACACAGTATTTTATAGATGAACAAAGTTAATTAACACAATTAACAAAGTTAATTAACACAGTAAGTTAACACAATTTATTTTACAACTTCCTCTGTGGGTGGTTATTTCCGTGGTTTCTATTTTTTTTATATATAACTAATGTTGCAATAAATAAGCTTTATTTCTTCCTGGCATTATTTTTGCATTTGGGACTATCTATACACAATATTTTGTCAGTAATGAAATTTCCAAGTTAAGCAGTATATAGATTTAAAACTTGATACATGTGTGATGTAGGAGGGTCAGCTATTTTAATCACTTCTTATTTACCCCATTGGCAAATGAGAGGCTACCTCCCTAGAGTTGTGGGGATGGGAAAAGACATGATACCTGTGTCTTAGCTTCTTTACCATTGCTGTGGCGAAACACCAAGGCCAAGGCTGTGTATAAAAGGAAGCGTTTAATTAGCCTATGGTTTCAGAGGGTTGGAGTGCATGACGGCAGAGCAAAGGAAGTTGAGAGTTGATGTCTTGATCCTTAGGTAGGAGACAGAGAGAATAGTGAGAATGGAGTAAGTCCTTTGAGACCCCAAAGCCCACACCCAGTGGCACACTTCCTCCATGCAGACTGCACCTCTTAATCCTTTCCTAAACTGTTCCACCAACAGGGGACCAAGGATTCAGACATATGACCCTATGGGGGCCATTCTCATCTAAAGCAATACAATCTGCAACTGTAAAGATGGCTCCAACTGCAGGTGATTAGAAAGTAAAACACAGTCTAGGGGAGTAGGGCATCAAGTAAGACCCCAAACCATATGGAGTGCCCTAGGAAAAAGAAAACACCAGCAGAGGTTAAAGGAGGCAGGCATGAGGCTTAGAGATTGAAGGGGGCAGGGTGTGGGACTGGAGAGGGCAGGCGGGAGGCTGGAGCTACTCTGGTCCTCAGTGATGCATTTGAATTGCATGAAGAATTCTGCAGACTAGCAAGAGCCTGGCAGTTGTGCGCAGGAGACTTGGCTGGTTGGGACTGTTAAACGTGAAGCAATGGGGTTAGGAGGAATTTGCAGCTAGGCTGGGCACCTTTGAATTTTTCCAAATGCCGAGGCAACTCATGACATTGAACTCGGGTGACCTCAGCCTCCCAGCTTTTTCAGAAAGACTTGATCAGCTTTTGCTCCTGCAGAAAAGGTTGGTTTCTTTAATTTGCCCAGAACACATGGTCTCTTTATCAGGGGCATGATCATGTGAGAGGCAGAAATTCTTTCTGAGAAATCATCTGTATTCATTACCAAAGCAAGTTCTTGCCTGCTGCCGCTGAGAGAAGATCAGGTCTCACCCTGAGGTTTCTCTGACAGCCCATTCAGAGCCAACCCCGTCGTGGTTTCCGGTGACAATCCCATCTCCAGTGACATTTGTTTGACTTTCTCAAGGCTAAATTGCTTCCACATAGATGTTTCTAAAGAACGATCACTTCAAAATAAGATTATAATTTCTGAGTAACTGTAGTGCCTGCTGAGGGTGATGTTGTGACCTCGGCTGGGCAACATTGCCAGTGCATTGGCTCTGGTGAGGTTGCCCACATGTTCATCTTTGGTCTCCCACAACACAGTGAGTATTAAGTGTGCGCTGGAGCACCACTGGGTCCCTAAGTGAAACCAGAGAAGCCCAGGGCCAGATTTAGAAAGCAGCTGAAAGCAACTGGTACTTTCTGTCGTCCAATGGTATTTTGAGTTGAGGGCTTTGCGCTCACCCTTTCATTGAGCAAAGAGCCTGCCCAAGGGCAGCAGTCACAACCCTGCAGACGGTCTGAGTCACCCAGAGGTGGCCTGTGGTTTGAGGGTGCCGTGTGATGGCAGTACAGATCTTATTTCTAGAACAGTTGGCATATCCATGAATCCGATTCACCAAGAACGAACCACATCAGGAGTTCGGCTCGGGCTTTTCCAGTTATTCCTTCCTTCCGTGGAGTTCTCGGGTTATGGCGTTGATAATTAGGGCCGACCTTCAGTGGCTGACAAATAGGGCAGACACAAGCTGTGCCCAGTAACCCAGTACTGCAGTCTGCACTGGAGATTTGCTATGAAGGGAGATGGGGGAGGAGATGGAGGGAGGGAGGGAGGGAGAGAGAGAGAGAGAGACAGGGAGGGAGGGAGGGAGAGAGAGAGAATCAGTTATTTTACAACAATCATTTTATTTCAGGTTGTGTACATTAAGGTCTGATATTATGTGACTTGAATGTTTACAACTTTCTTTTTTAAAATAGACTGTATTTCAAATATTACTAAAAAATTTAAAAAAAAAGTACCCTAAGAGCACTTACATTCCCAATGGTGTCTCCTGGCTAATATCCTAGAAGAAGGCATGGACAGAGCTTCGGACACGGGGCCAGCTGTGCATTTACTATTTTACTAAATCCATGGATCTTATTATGAAGCATGAAAAATATCCTCCATTCAAAAACGAAGAAAACCAGATGCAAGAAGTTAACCTTCCCTGGGCTACAGAACAGAGCTATTTTGGCATCCATGGGACCAATCGTTTATCTCTGAGCAAGTGAAGAGTCCTCAATGGTTCATTCTTTTAAACATTACCATGGGGGGGAAATCGGTAACATTCAATAGACACTGGCTTTGAAGGTGGACCTTTAGGGGTCGAGGCAGTGTAAGTCATGTTTCTGGGTAGTGAGGAGTAGCATTGAGTTTCCTTCCCAGTTAGCATCCTGCTCATGAGCGGCAATGATTGACATTCTGCAGTGTGCTGGGATGCTGGGCTGGGCTAAGGGCTAGATGAAGTGGGTTCAGTGTTTAACCAATCTTTCCAGCTTGTGGTGAGTCCATTGAGATGTGAGATTCTATCCTATGTCAAGGTGTGTTTGTCCAGTTCTTGAAAGGAAGTATATGAGAGTTGGTGGATGAGGGAATATGAAACTACACAAACATCATTTTTAAGCAAGCATCTTAAGTCAGTTTCCTTATATCTGAAATGGGAAGGACTTCCCCAACCCGAGAGGGTAGTTGTGAGATCACAAAATGGGACTTCCGGACATCTGGCACATGGTAGGTGATGAATAAAGACCCTTTTGTCCTCACAATCCAGAGCAAGATCCACATGAGAAACGCAACATTTTGGTGACTATCAGGCACAGAGATAAAGATGTAATCTCAGGCAAACAGAGTAGTGAACTCTTAGTTGGTCAGCTCAACCAAGTGACTAAGTGCAACACCTTTCCAGGGTGCTTCCAGCCCACTGGTGGCAGGGGAGAAATCAGCCCTGGCTACTGGGACCCCAGCCTTTGCCTTTTTAAATGTGCTGTCAGACAAAGTATTTGGAGGTTTATCTGGTGAGCCATGGTAGGACTGGTCTCTCTCTCTCTCTCTCTCTCTCTCTCTCTCTCTCTCTCTCTCTCTCTGTGTGTGTGTGTGTGTGTGTGTGTGTGTGTAGTGCAGCACCAACCAGTAGCCAGTAGCCAGTAGCCAGGTTGGAAAGGTGGAAGGTGGCAGGAGCTAGAATAAGTGAGGGCTAGCCAGGCAATGGTGGTGCACACCTTTAATCCCAGCACTCACGGAGACAGAGACAGGTGGATCTCTATGAGTTCAAGGCCATCCTGGTCAATTTACAGAGTAAGTTCCAGGACATCTAGAGATGCATAGAGAAACCCTGTCTCGAAAAACAAAAAACAAAAAGTGAAGACAATCATTTGAAGTCCCCAGGAGTATATTTCAGATGGAGTTTTATTGATATGGGGAGACATTTCTAATCATCAGCCCCTAAACAACTGGATGACACTTTGTCCCCAAAATATCTGGTGTTTACATTACAGGCTCTCCAATTAAAAAGAAACTTGCATGTTAGGAAGGGCACGCCTCTCAGTGGCATGCTAGAAGTATATACTCTTAGACAGGGGCCTTTAACTATGATTTCATGACCGTTCCCTTAAATTTGACTCCCAAATACATCTTTGGATCATTTGTTTCTGCTTGAAGGAAGAGAATAGTTGAGATTTGAATTGTAGCTATTGGTCTTGAAGCAGAAGACAATTATGAGCCACTTGG